GCCCCGCCCGCCCCCTCTCCACACTGGGAAGCCGCGGGGCAGCGGGGGGGGTGGTGGTTTGCTGGGTCCGCCGGTAACAGGCGCGTTCCCTGCCTGCCGCCAGCCACGAGTGTCCCGTCGCCGTCCGGCTCAGTGCCCGGAGCCGCTGCGCCCTTCCGGCCCCTCTTCAATGACTTCGGCCCGCCGTCCATGGGCTACGTGCAGGTGAGCTCCGGGCGGCGGGTAGGGCCCTGTCATGGGCCACCCCGCCGCCCTCACCGCCCTCCTTCCGCCCGTGTCCGTCCCCGCAGGCGATGAAGCCGCCCGGCTCGCAGGGCTCCCAGAGCACCTACACGGACCTGCTCTCCGTCATCGAGGAGATGGGCAAGGAGATCCGGCCCACCTACGCGGGCAGCAAGAGCGCCATGGAGCGGCTGAAGCGCGGTATGAGCTGCCCCTGGGATAGCGAGGGCCGTACCATCTGTCGGAGGATAAATGCACCGTCCCCTTGTCACCATGCCAGGCTGTGTGCCCGCTGGCACGTGTCCCGCGGCACCAGAGCGAGCGCTCACGAGCAGTGCTCCTGTGGTTCCCTCCTGCGTGGGGGTGGGACTGAGGGGATGTCCTGGCTCCCATCGGAAGCCCGAGCAGAGGACACTGAGCTCCAAGGTCCCTCTGCGGTGGCAGCAGCAGGAGCCCCGCTGCCCTGCACGGGCATAGAGGAGACGGGGGGGTATAAGCGGGCTCTGCTCACCCCGGGGCTTTGAGCGCCTAGGGGGAGGTGCTTGGAGCTGGGGCCGCCCAGAGCGACCTGGACTCACACTCGGCCTTCGTCTTCTCCCCCCAGGCATCATCCACGCTCGGGCACTGGTGCGAGAGTGCCTGGCTGAGACAGAGCGCAACGCCCGCACGTAACGGCCGCTCCTCACGGGCCCCCTCAGCCTGTGAGCGTTCCCCGGCCCGGAGGTCGCCCTTTCCCCGCTCCCCGTCCCGCCAACCTTTTGCCGCCGATCAGTGTCTTGAGAGCCTGGGCCTCCCTTTGCGCCTCGTGACAGACCTTTCTACGTGACGGCCACCGGCGTGTCGGCATCGCCGGGAGGCCGCTCTTCTGCTGCGTGCTGCAAGCACCTCCAGGGCTTCTCTCCTCTCTCTTTATAAATGCTTGTTTTTATAAATAAAGGAAGTTGTTGGGATTCTGCTGGCGCGCTCGTGCTTTGTCCCCACTSCTGTGGGTACAGTGGCAGGAGCGTCTCCCTGCTTCAGCTGGGAAGTGTTGGAGGAGAGGGAGGTGACACTGTGTCCTTCCTGGGAGTGTGGCGGGGGGGAGGGGGCTGCAGGAGGAGCACCGAGCTCCAAGGAAGGGGATTTTAGTAGGACGGGGCTATTTTGGGGAATGAGAACAAGGCCTTTTTCCAGGTTGGTGGGGCTGGGACGTCATTGGTCCCTTAGAGCTACAAGAGGTGAGTGTCAAGGGAGTCAGGTTCATCCAGTGTTCCCATGATAACCCTGCGGTGAGGTGGAAGGGACAGACGAGGAATACGTCTGGAATAGCGGGCAAAAGCAAGGGCAGCATCTGCTCTCAGACCACAGCTGCGGCAGCACTGGCAAGGGAGAACCTGGCAGTGCAGGAGAAGGCAGAGCAGGGCAGGCGTAGGCTGGGATGAGTGGTTGGAGCGTGGCCTGAGCAACCCAAAATTGTGTCTGAGCAACCTGGCACGCTCCTGAGAAGATGTGGTAGGCTTCCACGACGAGATTACGGGCTTCTAGGTTGAGATGGTGGGCTTGTAGGATGAGATTGTACACTTCTGTGGTGAGATGGTGGACTTCTAGATTGAGAAGGTGGGCTTCTGCAATGAGATGGTGGGTTTGTAGGTTGAGAGGGTGGACTTCTAGGTTGAAAGGATGGGCTTCTAGGTTGAGAGGGTGGGCTTCTACAATGAGATGGTGAGCTTGGCGGCTGAGGGGACACCACTGGTTGCTATGGGTCTTGATTGTGGTGAGGCTTTCGGCACTGTTCCCTGAGACAAAATGGGGAAGTATGGCCTAAACAAGCAGATACGGAAGTTGATCAAAACCTGACTGAGCTGCTGGGCYCAGAGGGTGGCAGAAAGTCCAGTGGGAGGCTGGCCACGAGCTGCGCCCTGAGGGCTGTGCTGCATCTTTATCATCTTCCCTAGGGATGGGTGGCCTCTTCAGAGGGGCTGGGAGAGCTGGACTGGGCCACCAGGACAGGCTGGAGAGCAGCTCTGCAGAGAAGGACGAGGCGGACACCAGGCTGGCCATGGGTCAGCAGTGTCCTGGGCTGCTTTAGGAAGACAGAGGCCAGCAGGGCAAGAGTGGGGGGATCTTCCCTCAACTCAGATCCGGCTGGGCCACATCTAGGAGCGTCAGGTCCAGGTATATTTATTTAATTATTTTATATTTATATTTTATGTTTAAGTTTTATGTTTACATTTTATTTTGTTTTGTTTTAGCTTTCGCGTTCCATTCTATCTCTGTTTCACAGGAGGGGTGTGTGTGTGTG